TGCAGCCCGTGACAGCGGCCCGGCTGCACTTGTGTGCGCCGTTTTTCCGGTTGTTTCTTATTCACGTATATACGCTCACACAACCACGGACACTTTTTCCATCTGTCAGCCATCTCATTCTGCCACTGACCCATCCACCACCCACGCGACCTTTTCTGTACTCATTTTTACACCGACCTATAACCGTCGTTGTGTGCGCCGGCAACGCGCAGCCACCCCGGGTAGAAAAGAAACCCAACAAGACGAAACAGCAACGACGCCGCCGCCGCCTTCGCGTTTAGCTTCTCTCCATTTCGATAATTGAGAAACGTTTGGTGCCTGCCGCGCGGCTTTCGCGATCCCTTGAATTATGGCGGCAATCGTACCGTTCGCGGACAGCTCTAACAATAAGTTAATCTCTATAGTGCTACTCACGATATCAACAGAGATTCCCGGGCCAGCCACTAAATCTTTCGCCTTTGTGTTCGTTTGCGACCCCGGATATTTTCGGGCGGCGTAAAAACAATGTAAAGTAATGTCTCCCTTACTGACGCTCAGATTGTCCACTAAATTGGATAATTGGGGAAGAGGAGATACGATTGTTCGAGCCTTGCAGCTCGTTTTTATAGTTCTTGACAATTCGTAACTATGAAAACATACCGCAAGCCTCAAATAATCGTGCCTGCTCGTCCCAAATTGTCCATTTTTGTGCGCAATCTAAGCGTCAATTAGAGAGACATAACTGTACAGTAATATCTCCCATACTGACGCTCAGATTGCGCACAAAAATGGACAATTTGAAAAGAGGAGATACGATTATTCGAGCCTTGCAGCTCGTTTTTATAGTTGTTGGCAGTCGGTAACTATAAAAAACGAGCCACAATGTTATTATCTCCTCTTCGGAAATTGTCTATTTTTGTGCGCAATCTGAGCGCGAATTGGGGAGAAATTACTGTAATTAAATTCTCCACAATTGTCGTTCAGCTTATAAATCGAGCGCACAAAAATGAACGATTTGGGAAGAGGAGATACGATTGTTCGAGCCTCGCGACTCATTTTTATAGTTAGTCTCTGCTAAAGGTCTTGATAATTGCAATAGACAGTAATGTCTCTCTAATTAACCCTCAGATTAGAGAAACATTACTGTATTCTGTGGTCACGTGCGTTCGTCTGTCAATAGTTTTTCTCGCTATTTTATCAGTTTTATCCGTTTTCGATTTTAATAAATCTTAACAGTGAAAACGAGGTTGCAAGCACAAAGTTCGAAATATATAAATGAAAGAATATGTAGATTTATGAAATGGAACGTATAATTAAGCCCGGGTCGTTCGCGATATTATTATGCCAGTAAAAATTAGGTTGNTAGTTATAAGTTGTGAATAATTATGAAAACCAGCCGCATCTCCTCTTCCCAAATTGTCAATTTTTTCTGAACGAACTGAACGTCAGTTAGGGAGACATCACTGTACTTTCGTTATTATAATTTTAATTATAGTAACTATATAATATAATAATTATATTATTTAATTTTAATTTCGTAATTATAATTTTGGAAGAGAAGATACGATTGTTCGAGCTTTGTAGCCCGTTTTTTATAGTTTTCGAATTGTCAATAACTATAAGAACGAACTGCAAGGCTCGAACAATCGTATCTCCTCTCCCCAAATTGTCCATTTTTCTGCACAGTCTGAGCGTCAATTAGGGAGACATTACTGTAATTGTGAAGTAAAGTCTAAAAAAAATTCTAGTTGTAAGTGTATTCCGCGTAATATTTCTGTATCAGATAGTCTATCAAAAAGTGGATCTTATTATAATAGGTATTATATTACAGTATCGGGTAATTTATCAAATTAAAACGGGTTCTTATTATAAATGAATAAGTCATATTTCCGGATCATATCTGCTAGTTTATCTTTAAATGGATTCTTATTACAAATTAATATTTCCGCATGGTATCAGACAGTTTATCAATTTAAACGGATCCTCGTTACAAATTCATAAATAATTTCTCGGTGGTAGGTGAGAGTGCGATTTCCACGATTCCATATACCGTTTCATTTCCTAGACAGAAGGCAGCATTTTGTTGCAGAATTATATGTCGATAATACTTTGTAGCGCCATTTCTATGGATTACCTCAAAACTTCTTTTATGGTAAGTCGTGACTTCCATGCTACTCCACGTTCCCTCGCGCAATCTTCGGTGCCCGAAACTGTCGCATATTGTTGCATGTTCGTACATTTTTGCAGACTGCTAGTCCTCGATATATTATCAGAACGTTTCTCACGGGGAAGCGTTCTTACGGTATCGATAACCGTGAAAAAAAAACAATTCCAATCATTTTGATCGTTCCGGCAGTTTCCGCGTTAAAAAACGGAAGGAAACTCGATTTCAACCGTGGCTGAAACGAAAATTTTTAACGCATACGCGAAGATTTCGCCCGCTATATTTCCACGGCTATATTTCTTCCGATCGTCAGAGAAATGTCTCCGTGCGAGAAAGCGAAAATTCGCGGCGTCCATAAATGTTTCTAGAATCGTTCTTTGCTTATGCCCGAAGTTTCGACGTAACCTCGTGCAAGATGCACGACTCCGGAGACTTTTATAATTTTCAGACAGTCCCTTGGACGTTCCGTGGCTCCAACACAGCCCACGGGTCGGGGTTCTCTTTCCTCGTTCCTCCGACCGTCCTCGTAACCAAAAATGCTGTTCCGTCTTAGGAAGGCTCGGTTACTCTGTTTTTCATTCCTCCGCCGTTGCAGCCCGTGACAGCGGCCCGGCTGCACTTGTGTGCGCCGTTTTTCCGGTTGTTTCTTATTCACGTATATACGCTCACACAACCACGGACACTTTTTCCATCTGTCAGCCATCTCATTCTGCCACTGACCCATCCACCACCCACGCGACCTTTTCTGTACTCATTTTTACACCGACCTATAACCGTCGTTGTGTGCGCCGGCAACGCGCAGCCACCCCGGGTAGAAAAGAAACCCAACAAGACGAAACAGCAACGACGCCGCCGCCGCCTTCGCGTTTAGCTTCTCTCCATTTCGATAATTGAGAAACGTTTGGTGCCTGCCGCGCGGCTTTCGCGATCCCTTGAATTATGGCGGCAATCGTACCGTTCGCGGACAGCTCTAACAATAAGTTAATCTCTATAGTGCTACTCACGATATCAACAGAGATTCCCGGGCCAGCCACTAAATCTTTCGCCTTTGTGTTCGTTTGCGACCCCGGATATTTTCGGGCGGCGTAAAAACAATGTAAAGTAATGTCTCCCTTACTGACGCTCAGATTGTCCACTAAATTGGATAATTGGGGAAGAGGAGATACGATTGTTCGAGCCTTGCAGCTCGTTTTTATAGTTCTTGACAATTCGTAACTATGAAAACATACCGCAAGCCTCAAATAATCGTGCCTGCTCGTCCCAAATTGTCCATTTTTGTGCGCAATCTAAGCGTCAATTAGAGAGACATAACTGTACAGTAATATCTCCCATACTGACGCTCAGATTGCGCACAAAAATGGACAATTTGAAAAGAGGAGATACGATTGTTCGAGCCTGTCTCTTATACACATCTTTACTGTACAGTTATGTCTCTCTAATTGACGCTTAGATTGCGCACAAAAATGGACAATTTGAAAAGAGGAGATACGATTGTTCGAGCCTGTCTCTTATACACATCTTTACTGTACAGTTATGTCTCTCTAATTGACGCTTAGATTGCGCACAAAAATGGACAATTTGAAAAGAGGAGATACGATTGTTCGAGCCTGTCTCTTATACACATCTTTACTGTACAGTTATGTCTCTCTAATTGACGCTTAGATTGCGCACAAAAATGGACAATTTGAAAAGAGGAGATACGATTGTTCGAGCCTCGCGACTCATTTTTATAGTTAGTCTCTGCTAAAGGTCTTGATAATTGCAATAGACAGTAATGTCTCTCTAATTAACCCTCAGATTAGAGAAACATTACTGTATTCTGTGGTCACGTGCGTTCGTCTGTCAATAGTTTTTCTCGCTATTTTATCAGTTTTATCCGTTTTCGATTTTAATAAATCTTAACAGTGAAAACGAGGTTGCAAGCACAAAGTTCGAAATATATAAATGAAAGAATATGTAGATTTATGAAATGGAACGTATAATTAAGCCCGGGTCGTTCGCGATATTATTATGCCAGTAAAAATTAGGTTGCAAACTGGAGGTTAAGAATATATAAAAAAATATTTTTAGAAGATATATGTATTCATATAATGGAATATGTAATTAACCGTCTGTCTGCACACTGAATGGTTCGACGGTCTATTTTTTAATGGGTCATTCGATAGTATGTTTACAATAAGAAGCAAAATTATACAATAATTCCTGATGTCACCTGTTGGCACAGCGGACATTTATGCAAATGCATATTTTTTTCAGGAAGCGGACAAGCTGGCCGAAAGAGTGTTTTATGATATTCGGATTTTTAAAATATATTTTTTGTTCGGTATTGTTTACGTAATGCATATTTATGTTTATCAGCATGTGCAGAAATATATTGCATTTGTTGTTTGCTGCGTGTATGCATGTATCATATTTATGTGGAATACGCACCTTTCAAATTAATTTCATGTAGCAGTGAAGTTTTAAACAATTTTGTGTCGCATTGATAGTTCCATATAATATAATAGCATAGTAGCGAAATATATAGAAATTCTACAATTGTGCAATAAAACTTGCATAGAATTTATATTGTGAAAAAAGTGGCAATTAATGCAACATAGAATTTGCAAATGGATAAATATTCAACGAAATTACCTGCTTGATGATTTTCGATTAATTGTTAAAACAAATACTCATTTCTATTGTTACTCATGAAATATGTAATTCATAAATCAACTATCACATCATGTTCTAAGTTGAAGTACTCTGATCTACTATTGCACAGATGTTATTTAGCTTAAGTCCCTGATGATAAATACAAATTGAAGATAAAAAAGGGAAAGTGTATTGCATGAAAAATAAAACAGAGAGGAATATTCGGACAATTTCAAAAAAATGATGGACACAACCCATGAATATTAAGTGACAAAAATGCATCTGTTAAATAGAGGGATTACTGTGATACTTTCCCGCCATTTTAGGTTACCATGGTACCAAAAAATAGAGGAATTATTAGCGTGCTGGAAAAAATATTTGACCACAGTAGCCGTTTGTGTCAGGTTATAACATAGGATGTAGAGGTATAGGATGGACCACTCGCGTTATGTGGTTTCAGGTCTAATGGCATCTACAGGACCTCAAACGTTCGCCAGTCCGCCCTAGCCCGTTCAGTTTTGCTCTAAACCCACTCCACAGTCTGGTCCAAGCAGCTCCATCCCGCTCCAGCATGCTCTAACCCGCTCTAGTCCGCTTTAGTTACATCAAATCCGCCTCAGTCAGTGCAAACACGCCCCAGTCATCGTAAATATTTTCCAGTCATCTTCATACAGCTACAATTTAAACGATTTAACCTTGACATAACCAATAAATGCAAAAATATTAACTATGAATGCTAGATTATCATAGTTTGATTTGGTGTATATCAATCATCTGGAAATCTGTGTCGCGCTGCACTCTGTCGGCAGATGATCGAACCTCAATCAAAACCGAATGGTAACGCTGAATAGAGAAATCTTGTTCACGATTTGAAATATGAAAAATAAGTAAATATTCTATAATATTACGTTATATGTATATTATATATATATATATATATATATATTAATATTATTATTATTATATATACGTATATTAATATTTATATTGTAAATGTATGCTTCTTTTAAAAGTAAATATATGTTTCTTTCTTTCGCGTAAAACTTTTTCATGTTTGGAAAAAGTTATAATTATATTGTTACCACAATTCGGTTTTGGTTTGTGATCCTTCGAACTATCTAACAGGGTTATAATGCAAGGTACATAAATCAGGCTACGATTGGTTAAACTTATTTCTGATCGTATGTTCAAAATTGTAGGTTATTCTAATTTATATATTTTCCAACGTATAGCAAAATCTTTTATAACAAAAGTTTGTACGTTAACTTTCAAGATTGAAGATTATACAATACACTGTGTAACTCTTGCTCTATTTAGTATTATCGTATTATACATTGAATTAAATTAACGAAAATTCTCAGTTATTTGAAATTTGAAACGTATAAAAGAATTTCAAATTCGACGTCAAAATCGTAAGTCGTAACTATAAAAAGATAAATTTGTATACCTAATTGTCGTGGTCGAATTTAATATAACACCATCTTGTTTCATTTGTAACGACGCTTTGATCGACGAAATTTGAAATTTCCAGAAGCATCGAAGTCTCCTTATGGTAGTACATATTTATACATCAAAATAGACGTATACAAGTTTAATTTACATAAGTTTAACTACGAAGTAATAAAATAGTACAATTTTAAGTACCTTACATTCATCCAAAATATCAAAATGGCTAAACAAAGTACCCCAAAAAAATGTACAAAAATCTTCAAAAATCCTACAACGCTTTCGATTGCTTCGCCCGTGCGCCATAAACCGTGCGAAGTGCCTGAACTTCCCCCAGTTTGCACTATGCTGACCCCTGCCGGTAATTTACAGAAACAAAGGCGAAGCTACATGAATGAACACAGGCCTAACTGAAAACGCATTTGTGTGGCGGTGGTGAGCGGGACGAGGACAATAAACCTTGGACACTGTTTAAAAGACGATTACCTGCCATAACAGACACCAGTGCAGTCCAGGGAAAATCCCGTGGAGTACAGCGCGAGGGTTTCAGCGGTGCGAGCAATTATAGCCGCGATCGAGATAGAGCGAGATTAAAAGAGCGATAAATGAGAGCAGCGCATGCGAGAGAGAGAGAGAGAGAGAAGGATAGCGCGAACAGCTGACACTAACACGTTGCTCGAGCGTAGTGGCAGCGCAAGCTCAGTTGTTGATGAGCCGCCGAGCCGAAAGTATAAGTATCGCCATCTGATGACCAGACGGGACGTGCGTTCGTAAAACGCATCGAAACAGAACGCTCGAAGGAAAGAGAATCGCTCCGTGATTCTGTTGCATACGGCCCCGCGCGCGCGTAACTAACTGTAAAACCGACTTCGAAGGGAAGTGAGAAACGTTCGCGGTAACGGTTCGCGCTTTCGGCCGTTTCTTAACCGTACGCCAGCGTCTAGACCGCTCCGGACGGATCGTCGTCTCGTTGAAACAGTGATAGAGAGAAGTTGCGGGTGGACGACGACGACGACGAGAAACGGCTATCAGGCGCGTTCTTTTACCCTGTGCATCTCGGACAAATAGAGATAGCTGTGAATTCGTAAAAGCAACGGCACATGAGTCCCAGATAGTACCGTCGCGTCTTACGAGATCGTGGCATGAGAAAATGGATTATAGAAACAGGGTGTACAACGCTGCGAGGGACGGCAAACTGAAACATCTGAAGGTGAGCGAATCTCTCGAATTCTACCCTAAGCGATGTAACTTATTACGAAACGTTTCCTTACGTATATTATTTGACGCGCGACGGTGGTTCGTAAAGCTCGCGTTTCGAGATCGTGTAAAAGAACGTTCCAGCGGTTATTGACTCGACGTCGGCAATTGCCGCGATTAAATATCAACATCCTGTGACGCCGCGACGGTTGATATCCATATTTTTATGCCCGAATTATGGCATGAGTCACCGGAAAAAAGAGATACACAGAATGTTGGGGTAAATGTGTTAGTTTGTGGGAGCCGTCGTAAATTTCGATGACCGTGAACTATGTTGTCAAGGACAACATTTTGAACAATTTTTTCCCATTTTTAGGATATTCGTTAAAAACTGTCGCTACTACTACATTGAACTTTGTGTATAACCACTACGCGTTCCGTGTCTGTGTATCAAAATAGAACTCGCGTCTGAAAATTCTCTACGTTTCTACGATAAACGCTAACAATGTTATCGGATATCCGAGTTTTAATTTGAGGTTATAGCAATAATGTAATAGTTCTTTCGTTTCGAATTGTTTGACGTAAATCTGAGGCATTAGATCCGGATTGGGTTTGGGTTAGGTCACGAACAGAAAAATAATCTAGAACGGTCATTAAAGCCGGAAATGGCTCATTCAAACTGTATATTTACTGAAATTGGTATTTGAAACGGTATAGACTTTCGATTTCGTCGTAGTAATGAATATATTCTTTATGTTTCATTCTCGTGCAAAACTTTTTTTGACATTGACATGGATATCGTAACCTCAACCATAAAGAATGGAGATTAATGTCAAGAGAACGAGCAATACGGAAGAATTAATCGGCGTGAAATGTCTTTTTTATGTTTCTTAGTCAGCCACTTTACGGGCCATCAAACAATAATGTTAAATCCACAGTTACTGCTATGATTGTGCGTACTTAACGTTTGCAGCTAAAAGTAGCAGAAAAATAAATATTATACATATTCGTGTCGTTTATTAGACAGTTGAGCCGTTTATTTTGAAAGTGGCATAAGTCATTTTGTTTTTAAGTCGATATATTTAAGGGTTTGCGTTTGAACACGTTTACAAAATATGGATGCTAACTCTCGAGAAGATTTACTTGTATTTGTTATCTCAGGATACTGATATTTTTCTCGGTGTAAATAATTTCGTATAAACATTAAAAAATCACCACTTTTCATCACGGTAAAGTGACTTATGCCACTTTCAAAATAGACGGCTCAATTGGTGAAAGCAATAACAGTATTTTGCCTCAATAAAGACTCGTGTAATTTTAAAAATTCTACATATATTTGATAACTTTTCAGTAAATACTTTGACATTTTCCATAAAATAAAATAATTATTATATTAATCTTATATATATTGATTTATAATATTTAATAAATAAATATAATAATATTTAATAAATAATTTATAATATTATATAATTATTATATCAATCTAAAAGAAATAATTGTTTTTACTCTGAAATAAATTTGTACGTTTATATTCACTTCCCTGTGTGCGATTTTTGAAAATCAACACAAGCACGAGTGCAATTGNTACAACGCTGCGAGGGACGGCAAACTGAAACATCTGAAGGTGAGCGAATCTCTCGAATTCTACCCTAAGCGATGTAACTTATTACGAAACGTTTCCTTACGTATATTATTTGACGCGCGACGGTGGTTCGTAAAGCTCGCGTTTCGAGATCGTGTAAAAGAACGTTCCAGCGGTTATTGACTCGACGTCGGCAATTGCCGCGATTAAATATCAACATCCTGTGACGCCGCGACGGTTGATATCCATATTTTTATGCCCGAATTATGGCATGAGTCACCGGAAAAAAGAGATACACAGAATGTTGGGGTAAATGTGTTAGTTTGTGGGAGCCGTCGTAAATTTCGATGACCGTGAACTATGTTGTCAAGGACAACATTTTGAACAATTTTTTCCCATTTTTAGGATATTCGTTAAAAACTGTCGCTACTACTACATTGAACTTTGTGTATAACCACTACGCGTTCCGTGTCTGTGTATCAAAATAGAACTCGCGTCTGAAAATTCTCTACGTTTCTACGATAAACGCTAACAATGTTATCGGATATCCGAGTTTTAATTTGAGGTTATAGCAATAATGTAATAGTTCTTTCGTTTCGAATTGTTTGACGTAAATCTGAGGCATTAGATCCGGATTGGGTTTGGGTTAGGTCACGAACAGAAAAATAATCTAGAACGGTCATTAAAGCCGGAAATGGCTCATTCAAACTGTATATTTACTGAAATTGGTATTTGAAACGGTATAGACTTTCGATTTCGTCGTAGTAATGAATATATTCTTTATGTTTCATTCTCGTGCAAAACTTTTTTTGACATTGACATGGATATCGTAACCTCAACCATAAAGAATGGAGATTAATGTCAAGAGAACGAGCAATACGGAAGAATTAATCGGCGTGAAATGTCTTTTTTATGTTTCTTAGTCAGCCACTTTACGGGCCATCAAACAATAATGTTAAATCCACAGTTACTGCTATGATTGTGCGTACTTAACGTTTGCAGCTAAAAGTAGCAGAAAAATAAATATTATACATATTCGTGTCGTTTATTAGACAGTTGAGCCGTTTATTTTGAAAGTGGCATAAGTCATTTTGTTTTTAAGTCGATATATTTAAGGGTTTGCGTTTGAACACGTTTACAAAATATGGATGCTAACTCTCGAGAAGATTTACTTGTATTTGTTATCTCAGGATACTGATATTTTTCTCGGTGTAAATAATTTCGTATAAACATTAAAAAATCACCACTTTTCATCACGGTAAAGTGACTTATGCCACTTTCAAAATAGACGGCTCAATTGGTGAAAGCAATAACAGTATTTTGCCTCAATAAAGACTCGTGTAATTTTAAAAATTCTACATATATTTGATAACTTTTCAGTAAATACTTTGACATTTTCCATAAAATAAAATAATTATTATATTAATCTTATATATATTGATTTATAATATTTAATAAATAAATATAATAATATTTAATAAATAATTTATAATATTATATAATTATTATATCAATCTAAAAGAAATAATTGTTTTTACTCTGAAATAAATTTGTACGTTTATATTCACTTCCCTGTGTGCGATTTTTGAAAATCAACACAAGCACGAGTGCAATTGCGTGAGCACCGCTAGCCTAAATTTCGCATAATAAACCCATTATAATAAAATGATTGAATTATTTGATATAGTTTGTGAGCGGTAAACAATTTTATTACGTATCAGCTCGACGAATGTCCATCCGATGCGTCTTTACAAAACGGCTCATCAGCTTCATTCTCAATGCAGATATGTGCATAGTAATGCAACTTAACATAATTTTAGTGCGCGACAAACATCGTTATCGTACGGTACGTTTCATTTTATTAATATCTTCCTCCTACGCAGCAGCCTAATTTTACACATCCGTTTAATACAGCCATTGTAACACACAGAACAAATTCTCAATTATCGTTAAGAAAATAATTTCACGATACAACAAATTGGAATTTCCATGGTCATTTATCAAATACGTTGAATGTTGACCAATTTTTATATTCTCTTCGTTCCTAAAATAAACCCTTATGTCAAGCATTATGCTAAAACGAAACTCGAAAATCGTTCAAAATAAATAGCACAAATTTCTTTCAACACGATGATTCATTTCTGATGGCACTTCTGCGAATAAGCGCAGCTTTAGTTGCGCAAATGATCTTGTAATGTTCGTGATCCGCTACGAGCTCGTTTTTATACCGTGTGCCGAAATCATTCTCCCTTTTGTATTGGGTTGGCAACTAAGTAATTGCCGATTTCAGTTATAGATTTCTCTCACTCCCATTTTTATGATATCCGTAAATGTTATATTAATAAAAATTATTATTATTATTATTATTATTATGTTATTTTTTATTATCCGTGAATGCTAGCAACTGGACAAATCGAATGCAGCGGTCAAGGAAAAGCGACCAGAATTGGTCGATCGTAAAGGTGTCATTTTCCAGCAGGACAATGCTAGGCCGCACACGTCTTTGTCCACTCGGCAAAAATTGATGGATATTGGTTGGGAATCGATGTTACACCCACCATATAGCCCTGATCTCGCGCCATCGGATTACCACTTATTTCGATCCCTGGACAACTCCCTTCGTGGTAAAACTTTTAACGACGACGACGCTGTAAAATCTCACTTAACTCAGTTTTTGGCCGAAAAGGATCAGACTTTCTACGAGCGTGGAATTTTCAAGTTGTCGGAGAGATGGCAAAAGGTCATCGAACAAAATGGAAAATACATTACAGATTAAACTTCGTTCCAAGCAAAAAGAAAATTTTTGTTTCATTGAACAAATCGGCAATTACTTAGTTGCCAACCCAATACAATAAGAACACGTAGCAGTTAATTCGATCCATCTTTTCGAAATTGTTGTGGCAAAAGGAGGCGAGATTCTACTCCCTTGGCTCACGTTTATCTCGAGTAGGAAATAGCCACGGCAAACGGCGGTTATATTTAGCTACCGAGACGTCCGTCTATATAGACGTTAATGGGAAGTCTGCTTAGTTAGGTTTCCGTATGTATGCGCTTTTATACATTGCGCGCATCTAACGTTGTATCTGTCGCACCGTAATGCATGAAATATGAGGAACATGGAGGGCGGAGTGGGGGGACGACGACAGGTAATCGGAACCGAGGTTTATTCGCAGGAACGTTTTCATGATAATTTGATTCAATAAACTTCTTCTCGAGAACGTAATTAATGACTATATTACGCGGAGTTTGCTATCAATTTATTTTATTAAAAAAAAGCAAACTCGTACCATCTTCGGAAATAGGATTTACTTGAATATGCTACTCCTAATTTTTCAGGCAGAAGATAAATAGATCTGCAATTTTCTAAGCACAAATTATGATAATTTATCTAAAACATAACCATTGAGTTTTTCTATAATTTAAGCAGA